TGACAAAAATTTGTGTATTGATTAGAAAATCACTGTCGTTAAATTTTATTTTTTTTGTTACAGAACTATTGTATGTCATGACAAAAATTTGTGTATTGATTAGAAAATCACTGTCGTTAAATTTTATTTTTTTTGTTACAGAACTATTGTATGTCATGACAAAAATTTGTGTATTGATTAGAAAATCACTGTCGTTAAATTTTATTTTTTTTGTTACAGAACTATTGTATGTCATGACAAAAATTTGAGTATTGATTAGAAAGTCACCGTCGTTAAGTGTTTTAATTTTTTTATTATAAAATTATCGTACGTCATGACAAAAATGTGTATTGATTCATTCGTCTTTAATTTCGAGATTTTGTATTTTCATTTAAAATTTTTTTTTTAGGTAACATAAAATGATTTCTCGTACATCTGACAGCCTTGGAATTGGCTAACAGGGGGCACTACTGTTTAACACACAAACTCTCTCATCTTAATTTGTACATGCAAATCAAACACAAATTAATGTACGAATTCACTCATTTATACTTGAAGGACTAGCTTTTCACATTATTTTAACAATATATATATATGCTGAAAATTATAAATTAAACAACCAATAATATCATTAATCATTTAAAACATAAATAAATCTTTCAGAGATAAGGTATACACAAACACTCAAGATAAAAATCATTTCCATCAGTTCACAGAGCCAAATCTACTCTGTAAACTGTCTCGCTGTACGCTATCTCAATTATACAATAACATCAAATCACTATCTACAATCTCAGTCAATAAAACTATTCTCTAAACCGTATCAAATCCTGTTATACTTTTACACATACAATCTGGGATAAATGTGGTCAAAATATTTCTTCAATTAAAATTAGTCAGGGTAAATTTCCTGTGAACTTTGAAAATTTTACCAAAAAAAGTAACACCAAAATACATATACAAGAGTAAAACCAGATAATATCGCTCTGAGTTTGTACCTAACACACACACTGTACGTACATTTTATAAATTAGGTTGAAACATCTTACTAAGGACTGATTACTTAACACAAGTCTGAAAACAACATTAAGGACATTCCCTTCATAACCACAATGTCAAATGCTAAATGGGAAGACGTTGCTTTAATCATTATCTTTTGACAATTTCTCAAGAGTTTACTGCTTATATAGATGTGGGTAAGGGTGTAGATTTGGATTTTCAGAAAGCACATGACAAGGTGTCACATAAAAGGTTTGTTAAAAAAATTATCTCTATAGGTGTGGAGGACAGGTAATCTCATCGGATAAAAAAAACTGGCTGGATAGAAAAAAAAAAGCAGGGGTTGTCATAAATGGAGTTCAGTCAAGCTGGATTAATATCACAAGTGGGGGTACCTAAGGGCTCAGTGCTATGCATCAACGACAAATACTGAAGAATGATCAACAAATTATTTAAAGTTGCTAACGATATTAAGGTTTTGGGTGTTGCTGGCTGTGAGGATATTGCTGATTTACAAAAAGATGTATATTATTTGGTGAACTGGATGAATAAATGTCAGATGGGTTTTAATAAATCTAAAGTAATGCATGAGGGTTATCATAATTTAAATCACGAGTATAATTTTGATGGGAATAAGTTTAATTGTGTTATGGAGAAAAAAATCTTGGTGTAGTGGTTGATCAGTCTCTTAAGCCATCCAGACAGCGTACTGTTGTTAGTGGTAGGGCAAATAGGATTTTACGTTATACCTTAAACAACAATACAAGTCTAAAATGGTTATACTTTCTTTGTATAGGTCACTGGTTCGGTCACATTTGGAGTACTGTGTTCAGCCTTGGGCTCCTTATCTTAAGAAGGGCATTGAATTGTTGGAAAGGGTTCAGAGGTGGATTACTAGAATGGTGCCTTGGATGGACGGGTTGTCATACATGGACAGGGTAAGATCTCTGAAAATGTCTTTGCTTGAGAAAAGATGAGTTAGGGGGGTTGAGGTATTTAAGATTACTAAGGGAATGTTAATGCATTATTTTTTCCATACTTAATGGTTGGACCAGGGAAGATTTTGGTAGGAGTCTTCTTCAGCTAACTGTGGGGGAAGATATTGCCTTACTAATCTTTTGACATTTTCTGAAGAGGTTACTACTGATGTAAATGAGGATACAGGTATGAATTTGGTGTATCTCAATTTTCAGAAGGTGCCACATAAAAAAAATAATCTCTGTAGGTGTGGGGAATAGGTTGACTCATTGGGTAGAAAACTTGATAGTTAGAAGGGTTAGACTAGAGGACAGTCTAACTTAAACTTGATAGTTAGAAGGGTTAGACTAGAGGACAGTCTAACTTTTCTATAAGGGTCGGTGGTTTTAGAAACTGATTACCTTCAGATATGGTTGAAGCAGTTAATTTAAGGGAAGGCTTAAGAAATATTTGAATAATAAGGGCTGGTTTTGAGTGCTTTATTTTCATTTTAAAGTTTAGTTTCGTGAGTGGGACGGCCTAGATAGACCAACATGTCCCTTGTTGTCCTTACATTATATAAAATAACAAAAATCTACAGAAAAAAAAAACGTTTAAGACTGTTCTTTCACAACCACAGTTAATTGTAATAAAACGTACACACAATAAAATAACACCCATCTGCAGAAAAAGGTGACTATCAGTAAGATCAAGTTGTTGAATCAAATAACTTTTGTTCCATTAAATGATATAATTAAACTATACAACTTTTTAAATCATTTGATTAACTAAGAAATCCCTAAACTTAACACATTACCAATGCTACAAAGAATGCATTTACTACATTTCTAATCTAGATGTATTTAAATATTAACCACAAACTGACGAAGAAAAATATTTGTGCTTGAAGAAATCACAGTTGATTGTACCAAAGTTATAATATACAACATCAAAACATTTCTATCAGACAACCACAAGTGTTTATTATTTAACAACTTAAGAGTCTAATCTTTGTAAGTAGTATTATTTATCTTCACACAGCATTCCATCTTTAGAAAAATGTGGTTAAAATTTCATACCGCTAAACACTTGGTGAAATAATTTCTTCATTAGCTCAGAATATAACACTTGTCAACCACTACTATTCTACTTCTAATGGCTACTTTCATCTAGTTTATTTAAGATAAGAATGTTTTACAAGCTTTAACACTATATAATAATAGAATTATTGTTTGTTCACACAATCAAAATACAATGGTTACTACTACTAGTTGGCATTGTTCAGCATTGAAGTAAAGGTTTGGTTGGTGCTAGCTCAAATAGAAAGAATAGGCCTCAGACAACAGTATTATTATATCAACATAGAGTTAAACCCTATATTCAAACCCTGGTCAGGACACACATTTTAACAGCCTTATGTTAGTCAACTTGCGACTAAAAAATGTTAATGGATAAGGACTTCCACAATATTACCCATACTGCCATAGTAATACTATTATTAATAGTAAATTATATTATAAAATATTTTATAAACATGCTGCCCAGACTGCTATGGAGATCTCATTATAATTTATTCCGACCTCCTGTTCAATAACTAGGTAGCCAGCTCCTGCGAGGAATTCAATATTCAAACTGTTAATACTTACTACTACTAGGATGAATAATAACAATATTATTATTATTACAATACTAATAAAACAAAAGTACTCGTGTTAAGCCTAACGTAAACTGCTTATGGGTTTAAATCCAGGACTTTTGTGATGCTAAATTAGTTTCATATAATTAAAACTAAATGAA